TTTGGGGAGGCAGTGTCTTCATTTTCCTTCCCTAACAGCTAAACCCTTGTCCAGTACTCCAAAAAGGCAGTATTTGACATTCTGAAGATTTGAGCCTAAATCCTATGACCAGTCCTGGGTAGAGTAAACCCATTAAAATCAATAGGATTTACCATCACATTTTTCTTCACCATTCAACAGCTGATTCAATAGGTCCACCCTTGTCAAGACTAACAGGATTCCAGCCTGGTATGATGACGATCCTTATTTAAAGTGAGGCATCTATCTGTCCCATTTTTAAAAAGGACCAAGAAATTGAAACAGATCTGTCTGATCTGTTTCAAATTCTTGGTCATCCCTGAATGGAAGGACACAAACTCTAGGTGGTTTGTGGCTATCAGGAATATTGATGGATTGATTTGGACAGCCGGACACTAACCAACAGTTTCCCATATTGAAATGCCTGAAGGGGCAGCTTCATGTCAAGTATCTTAGGTCTGCAGTATTTATTCTTCTGTGTATGTGTGTGTCCAAAAATGGAATACATTTTATATGACTAACAGGTGTCTGGAAATGCTGAACAGACAGGAGCACTTGGCAGATGGATCGGCTGTGAATCTCTTGATCAGCATCCGCTCCCTAGCAGAAAAGCTGGATTTGTTGTGGCAGAATGTGTGAAATGACCTAACAGACCCCAGTCTAATGGGAGCTCTTGCTGCAATAGTCACATTGTTGATCCTCAGCTGCCCAGGAAATTGGCTAGGAGTCACTTCTAATCCCAAAGAGCACCAAATGTCCCTATCTGGGTGACATCCAGCTTGTAGACTCCTCAGTTCACTCTAGGTTGGTTTGTTTTTCTGCAGTCGAAAACCCCGAACAAGATTCTGCTCATCGGAGGTCCAGAGTAGCACCAGGGTAGGTACAAAATAAACCCCAAATGCCATGGGACCTCCATCCCTGAGAATGAATACTGCACCCTATAGATTCCCACCTGAGAACTTAGTCTGTTGGAGGAGCCCTCCTTTATGTTTGGTTGAAGATTGCATACTCTACTGTTGGCCCTTGGTATCTGCTGGGATTTGGTTCCAGGATCCCTGTAGATCCCAAAATCCATGGATGCTCAAGTCCTATTATATAGAATGGTGTAGTGAAATGCTGCCTGTTTTGGAAAATGGTAAAAGCAAGGCTTGCTTTTTGGAATTTATATTTCTCAAAAATATTTTTAAGCCATGGATGGTTGCATTGATGGATATGGGATCCATGGATATGGAAGCCCAATGGTACAACATTTCAGAGATGAAAACCAAGCTACATTGGGCCATGCAATATCAAAGTGTGGTCAAGGGGTCAAAGATTATGAATAAAGAAGATCACACAAATTAGGAGAGACTGCAGCAGTTTGCCTTTGCCTGAAACAACTAGGAAGGACAAGATTTCCACCTCCTCTACTCCTCTCCCTTCCCCAAGGAATTAAATGAATGCAAAGTACTTCAGCACACAGTTTGCTTTTCCTGAACCTACTGGGAAGGGAAAAATTCTCCTCTTTCCCCTTCCCTTCCTTCCTCTTCTCTTCCCTCTTATCTTCTCCCCCCCCCCGCCACCCCAAGTTAATTGAATGCAAACCACTTTTGCACTTTGAAATTAGTTTGCAACAACTGATGACAGCTGAGGTTAAAAGGGAAAAGTGGGAGGAGAAGAGAGAAACCGGGACATTGTAACAGGAGCTGAAAAGGTGGGATGACAGAGGATTAATCTGGACTGCCCCTGCAGCAATCACTGCTGTCATATAGCCATAGTCCCTCTTGGTCTTTCAAACTGGATTTGCTGGCTTTCTTGCACTTGATTCATGATATCTGAATACCAACATTGTTAGCATTCAATTGGAAACTTTGGAGCCAACCTGTTATGTTCCAAAGCAAAATGTCATTGCTTCCACAGCTCCCTATGAAATGCATTCTTTGGCTTCTAATTCTTTTGCTGCTGATTGGATTTCAATAGACCGTCAACCAACCAAGGTAAGTTTAAAAACAGCTGCCTAAAAAGCTCATTCACAGTCATAATCCAGTATGTTTAGATATATGTAATTTTTTTTTCCTCATGCAATAATTGGCCAGTTGTTATAGCTGCTCCAGATGTCTTCCCTTGCAGAAGTTATTCTGTGTGCTGTAAACTAGAATTTCTCCACACTTAAAATGATCAGAAAATGCATTTTCCCCCAGGGTTGGCTTAAAAGTATTTTGTTACCTAGGTGAAGGCACAGGAAGGAAAATCACACAGACATCCTCACTTCATAACACACTGGAGGGGGGAGAGTAAGCATTGTTCAGAAAACCAGATCTTTAAAAAAGTCTGTATGTTACACAGTGAAATGCATTTCACTCCCCCTGCATTTGTAAAACAGCACATTAAATATTTGCTCATATCCCATTAGGCCCTTACAAACACTGTGCTTCAACAAGAACTTGGATGCTCTGCAACTGGATTGGAATCCAACCATTAAAGAAGGTATTTATTTATTTGTATGGAACGAGAAGTCCAGGACGTTTGTTGCATTGCAATGGCTCTACTTCTGTGCCAGAGATATGGAATGTGCAATGGAAGTGGTTGGGTTTTTTTTCTTTCTTTCCATGGAAAGGAAAAATGAATCCCCCAACAATTAACCTCCAGCATTTCACAGATAATAACCGGGACATGTGTGGTCAAACAATATCCGAGTGTATTCAAAATGATGAAAGTTATTAATAAGGAAGAATACATAAGCTAGGAAATGGTGAAAGTTATTAATGGTGAAAATGGTGAAAGTTATTAATAAGGAAGAATACATAAGCTAAGAAAGACTGCAGCAGCTTGCTTTTGCCTGAGCCTACAGGGAAGGACTTCCTCTCTTCTCCTCTCCCCCTTGCAGTGTTAATAGAGTGCAGAACACTATTGCCTTTTCAACTCAGTTTGCAGCCACTGAAGCAATCTGAGGACAAAAAAAGGAAGGTAGGAGGAAGAGGATGAAACTGGGACATTTTAAAAGCAGCTGAAGAATTGGGATGACAGAGGATTAATTGGGACTGTCCCTGCCAAATTAGGACAGTTGGAGGGTATGCTGCTGCTGCAAACACAGAAACGGTCAACAAAAGAAGACTTAAACCCAAGGAAAACTCTGGCAGGAATCCTGTTGGCACCATTCAACTCGTGGTCAAGTTTGACTCTGAGATCAAAATGCAGATTGGTATAGCATAACAGACAGACAAATATTATAAACTGTAGTAGTGATATAGCATGAAGATACAAAAGGACGGGTCCTTGCCCCAAGAAATTTACAATCTGACACCAATGAAATGGTGGTTTTCAAATAAAAGAAAATGGTTTTCACATAAAAGCATATTCAAACTCTGTGTGTTTGGTGTATTTACCTCTGTGCCTTACTCAGCGCCACTTGGCAAACCCTGGTCTCCCTTCTTTGGATTCTTTATTTTTAAATTAAACTTGGACAGCTCATCAAATAGAGGACTGTCCTCTGTAAACCAGGATACAAAAGGACCTTAAGGAGACACTCGTCATTTGCAAAATCTTCACTATGTCCCCTGTTACAGAGACAGGGTTTTGCAGTGGTTTTGGTGCTGGACCAGGACTCTGGGCAACTGGGGTTCAAATTGTTGCTCAGCCATGGAAACTCCCTGGATGAACTTAGGCAAGTCACACTCTCTCAGCCTTGGGGGAAGATCTCCTTGGAATAAATCATAAATTAGAGTCAACTAGAGGACACACAACAACAACCAGAAGCATTCAACACCATCTCTATTAAAACCCAATGGTAACCGCTGACTTCCATGCAGTGAGATGGGGAAATCCATGCTAATTTTCATCCTAAACGCCGAAGACCCTGTCCAAGGTACTGAATACAGTATATGGCTTACTTAACTCATTTCACATTTGTCTAAAATTTAGGGTGCAGCTATACTGCAGAAATAATGCATTTTGACATTACTTTAAGTATCGTAGTGCCATCCTATGGAATCCTAGGATTTGTAGTTTTACATGGTCTGTAGCCTTCTCTAAAACTACAAATCCCAGGATTCTTTGGGAAGGAGCCATGACAGTTAAAAGGGGATCAAACTGCATTACTTCTACAGTGTGGATGCATCCTTGAAGTAGAATCCTTGTCTAGTGACATGGAAGCCATTGGCTGTCTTTCTTACAACCCAGATCAACACAAGTCTCCATACATCCAAGATATCCACAGAGGAGTCCATCCCACACAGTGTTGGCTTCCATTCCTGACCTACCTGTTTCTCACCACTTGGCTTCCTGTAGTTCAGAAGGAGTTCCACGGCTCCTACCACTTCCTTCCGTATTGCATACAACAGAGCGTCTCCCACGTAGATCCCGTGGCTCAGCAACAGCTCCATGATCTCCAGGTTTTCGTTCTCTATGGCTATTAGGAGGGCACTGCGTCCAAGAGGGTCCATGCAATTGATGTTGATGTTGTAGTAGATCTCCGCCTCTTCCAGGGAATGCTTCACGCTGGCATAGTCCCCCTTCTCCACAGCACTGAGGTAGGACTTCTCTTCCAACGACAGCTCAGCTTCTGCGCGGACAATTTGCAACGGGATCCGGTCTCTGTAGGGTGAGTAGTTCACCTTTTTATAGTACAACTGAGCCATTGTTCATAGCGACCGGGGAGGCTGTTGGCAAAAGAATGGAAACAAAGTGAATTAAAAGGAACATGTAACCCCCCTAAACTCCACAACTGCAGAAGATGAACTTCTTAGGCAGAAAGTTCGCCACAAATTGTCTATGACTGTAATAAACTCCACAAATAGATCCGCAATTCTCACATCTTTTTTACTTTTGCTGAGTTTCCCAGTCATCAGGAAAGCCATAATTTGGCCACAAAACTAATAATGATGAATATTTTTTCCATTACTTATAACAGTGGTCATGATCTTGCAACAGAAACTACAATGCATGACTTTATGACGATGGTGGTGCACTGCCAACATAATATGCAAACAAGTTAATGAATTGTGGCCAGTGTAGTGTAGTGGTTTGAACATTGGACTATGACTCTGAAGACCAGGGTTTGATTCCTACTCAGCCATGAAACCCACTGGGTGATCTTGGGCAAGTCACATGCTCTCAGCCTCAGGGGACAGCAATGGCAAACCTCCTCTGAACAAATCTTGCCAAGAAAACACCATGGTAGGTTCATCTTAGGATGACAATTATGGCATTGACATTGGCATATTACAGATGCCACATGCTCTCTGTAGACCAGTGGTGAGCAACCTTTGGTCCACCAAATATTGTTGGATTGCAACTCCCATCAACCCTAGCCAATATAACCTACAGTAAGGAGTGATAAGAGCTGCAGTCCAACAATTGCAGGAGGGCCATCCCATAGACAGGGAGGTTGTCTGTCCATGAATACCACTGCCAAGCCTCTGTATTATTCTGTACATAATCTGATTTCCCTTGTATTTTATCAAGTTGGCACAAATTTTCAGCACCTTCAAACCAGTCATAGTTTTAGGGTGGATAATGCAGTGTTGCCATCCTTGATATAGAATTCAACAAGGACAAGATTAAATATATGAATCAATCACAAGAGCTAAAAACCCATGTAACCTCACACATACACCTATACAAAGATAAATATAATACACAGGTCATTTTTACCTTAACTCTCTGGGACAAACACTTTCTTTAATACACCCTGAGATTGCTGTTGTTTTGATTTGTCTTGTTAGTGTCAAAGAAAGAAGACACTACTGTAGAATCTGAAGAGATTTGGACATGGAACAAGTTCTACTAGGATTTTGTTGTTCCACTTTTAATATATTTGTGATCTTGTAAAAACTGAATATTCTGTTTATATTCCACAATGACTAGAGTCTTGTTGGTATCTTTAGCATGTATAAATTCCTCTACAGAAACGGTTGGACATGTTCATCCAATGCAGAACCTCCATATTCAGTTCAAGACTGTTGAAGCCTACTGACACATGGAGTGCCACTGAGTTTGGATGTACACTGTGTACATTAATGCACATGCACATGCTTGTGCATTGCACATTGAGTTGTGCAACAGCACAATTCACTAAAAAGAATTGTTCAACTGCCACATCACACCGTTACTGCAAAGTTACACTGTCTCCTGAATGCATGATGCCAGCTATTATATCTTGCATGCAATCCATGCTGAGTTGATTTCTGTTTGTGTTATTTTTATCTTATCATGTAAATATATATAGGGCATGTGTGGGACAGAGTGGACTCCATTTCTGAAGCTTCTCTTCTCCCCATCTCCAAAACAAAACTCCAATCAGCTTTATCTCTTTAAAGAAAAATGGCATGATTTACAGGCAATTTTTGCTCAAATAACACACAGGACCCCCGCAGTGTTAGTATTTAGAATTGGGCTGCAGAACCAGCATGGTGTAGTGGTTTGAGTGCAGGACTAGGACTCTGGAGACCAGGGTTTGAATCCTGGCTCAGCCACTACATCCCACCTGGTGACTTTGGGCAAGTCACACTCTCTCAGCCTCAGAGGATGGCAATGGCAAACCCCTTCTGAAGAACCTTGCCAAGAAAACACTGTGACAGGGTTGCATTAGCATCACCATAAGTCAGAAATGACTTGAAGGTACACAACACACACATTTAGAAGTATTTAGACCTCTCAGCCAGAAGTCTAGTGCCTCCCCCAAACTACAAACCCTGGGATTCCATAGGATGCAGCCATCCTACAATGGGCTACAACTGCATAGTTTGAAAAAGCCCCAGGTTTAGGATTGCATGCTTTTTAGCACCCATGACCAGGCCATCTTTTAATTTACGACACGCAGCCCTGTTATAATGAACCACCATTTCTTCTTCTCCATTCTCCCTTGGCAAAACTTTCCCCAAGTGTGCTCTCTGCGACCTTGCAACAGTTTTTATTTACATCTTGACACATTTAATTATTTTAGTGTAACCTTCTCTCTTTTCCTAATTTATAAATAACCCTTGAAGACAGCTTCAGCATATCCAAGATCAGGCTGGCGCTCTGCGGTCCCCCGATGCCATCTTCAACGGTAATGAATCTCTTCTACGTTGAAAAAAGCTGCAAATTGAATTGTGGTTCTTTTTCACTATTCAGTTTCCCACTGGAAGGGAAGGTCTCTTCCACTCCACATTCATTGCAGGGAGTGGAATTTGCTTCCTAGGGGTGTAGTTACAGGGGACTCAAAATGAGGGCATTGCCTCCCCTAAACAAAAATTCTGCCCCCC